ACTACTTATAAGTGGTCTTTGACCGCTTTAAGTAAAGTAGCATAAGAAAAATGGCAAGATATGAGACTTATAATACATTATAACTATGAGAAATATAATCCATTGTAAAAGTGGATGCAACGTGTTCATTGTGTTCAAACTTGATGTGCTGTTGTGGTAGGCCAGTTTCAAATCGCATATTTGGCACACTGCCTTTGTCTTGTCCTCACTCAATTTAAAGTGCTCCCACACAGCTGAGGTCTTCGGCACTTTTGTCTTCTCTTCCAGATGAACTGAATCATGATGTTCATGACGTTCACTCATGGGCGATTCATATTCAAGCGCGAATGAGAACCGTTTCGTGGGGAATGCCAGGTGTTCGAGAAAAAAAAAGAATGTTCGAATCTCAAAATTGAAAATCGAATGTCAACCCACCGAACGAATATTCGAATATTCTGGTCCAGCCCTAACAACAACACAATGTGACACCAGGGCTTTTAAGGTGTGCCTGGGATCAAATGCACCAATCAAGATGGGCCAGTCATTAGCCTGCAGGAGCCAATCAGCACTGTATCTGGACACAAACACTTCCAAAACAAAAGAGAGAAAGAATCGAGAGAATACAAAACAAAGGGTTGTAACACCCAATCAGTGCCCAGTTATCTCGTGCATGGGGTAAACAGCAGGAGGTAGCAAGACATACCGTATAGAGCTAACAACTATCCTCAAGCAAAGTGGCAAGGCAGGGACAATCTTTAAGAGGCCATACTGATGAAAGTGGGAATCTGTATCAGCCCCTGAAACTTAGGGCAGAAGAGGATGACCCCATTTTATTGAAATGGTTAACAGATCGCAACATTGCATACACAAGCCCTAAATCACAGAATGAAATCCTGAACATTATGGCCAATACTATAATCTGAGGAATTGCAAGTGAGATTAGGTCTCCAGCCCTTATTCAGTTTTCTATAATAGTTGATGGCACTTTTATTGTAAACTATTTCAAAGACATTGCAATAAATAAATGGTTTTGAAGAAGAATATTTTGGTCAATTTAGTCAAAGACTATAGAAAACCCAAGACGTGTCACTCGTATAGTTTTGAATGCGGAAAAATGCAACGCGTAATATGGCGCCATGGCTTTGAGATCACTTCCCGTCACGCAAATGTTGTGGAAGATGCAACAGGCACCAATCACCTTTGGGGCGAACAGTGGCCTGATCCCCAAGGCCCTCAAGAAAATGGCATGCCAGCACGTCTTTAACATCCCGAAGGTGCGCTCCATGATGTTTCTTGCTTGTTGTATCGGGCTGGTGGTGTAATATGGCCGCTCTATCAAACAAAGCCCGCCTTCTGAGCAAAAGAGCCAATCGCTAATCGGTAAAGTCAGCGCATCACTGCAGCTGCCGTTAGAATCCCGGTTGCTATAGAAACAGTCAGCGTTCAGAGATGTGCGCTCAGGACTGTGTATGCGCACTGGCTGGTCTAGCCTGAAAAATACGCTTTTTTAATGCTATTGGAGCATAAGGAACAATATTTATGAGGCAGTTGTTGTCAGATTTCATTGGTGATTTCAAATTTAATCGTAAGCTTGGTGAACAGTTTTGGAGAATTTGATGTATAGAATGTGATCATCCAAAGGTCAGTGGTGTTCTGGAAAAGTGTGGACATAAGGAGCTGTTGTTCACATCAAGGGAGTGGAATAAGTTGAAGGAGGTGGTGGACGTCAGTGGATCACCATCAGTGCTGTTGTTCCATTGGTTCTTGCTCTAAATCACCACTTGGAGAAGCTGAAGTCACAGGTCTGCTTCTTAAGTGGCCTAGTCAAAAGTTTGCAAGCATCCCTCGTCAAAAGATTCCTTGAAATATTCATCAGTGTGAAAATGGCAAGTGCTAAAGACGAAACCCCTGTACCATTTTCAGACCCAGTCTATCTAAAAGCGGCTGTCTTGGATCCAGCGTTTTCACTGCAGTGGATGGAGCACCATGTGCTGGTCAGTCCTGAAATCAAGGATTTATGTGGTTGCACAAAAAGTGAAGGGTAAATATCACACTTAAAGTCTGTGTAAAGGCAATTCCGAGAATTGTTTCGAAACAAATTCTAAATGTTAGAAATGTTTTGCAGAAAGCACGTTACAAAGACTGTAAACTATGCAGTATTGATTTGTGTTATGCAGTTAGACCGTTAAATAGGTTTTCACCATTTTTATGAATTTTGAGCGGGGCTGAAATCATGTCTCGAATCTCGATGATGCACTGGAGCCACCGAGCATGGCCCCTCGCCTAACACTAGAGGTGTGTTCGACTTGAAGAAGCGCTGCCCAGTCCGATCAGTGTGTGACATCAAAGTACAGTGAGAGCTATAGAGAGCAGACGCTCCTTATGCTGTCGAATCGCTATCACGCTGCTTTGTTGTCACACACTGATCGTTCTGCGCAGTGCTGCTTCAAGTCGAACACACCCAACCGTGTTAGGGGCCCCGCAATAACCTCCAGGTGCTGAGTTGCGTTGTCGTATCATGTGTCGACTATTGCCAGAGATATTGTCAAACGCATCAAATATTGGCAATATTAAGAGGATTTAGCATTTCCAATTAATGTAGGCCTGTTACCTTGTTATTATTATTATTATTATTATTAGCAGGGCCGTGCAGAGACCTTTGGAGGTGCAGGTGCTCAAAGTATAAAAGGGGCACATGGAGCACGGCTTAAACCGCTTAAACACATTGCATTACACCAAATAATGTTCTTTTTAGCAACATCATATGACCCCTTTAAACATTCAAATTTGGCTGGGTGGCTAATAACACATTTTTATGTAGTGTGACAAACTCAGAACACATATTTAATATTGCTTTACATGGACTCTAATGATTTTTTTAACCTTAATTTCAACTAAATGATTGAAACAATAATAGATTTTCATTGTAATTAACTGCATAATTAGCAACATTGTAATAGTTATATTTGCCTGTTCTTTTCTTTTCTGCTGTGAATATCCTTTGCCAGATTTAATCTTGGAAGATGCTGCTGAGTTTGTGCAGGCTACTTGTTTTGAGTCTGAAGATCAAGGGTGTCAGCAGCCTGAAGAAGAGACAAAGGAAAAACACTGGGACCACACCAGCACATCAGTTAAGTCACTATCTTGACTTATCTGAAGGACAGAATGCCCTGTTGTTCTGGGCTATGAACAGGAACACCCTTCCAGTGGCCATCAGGGTCTTGGCAGTGCCTGCCTCTAGTGCCCCAGTAGAGCGCGTTTTCAGCCATGGAGGCATCATACTACGACCCCATCGCGCACAAATGAGTGACAGACTTTTGGCCAATTTGATCTTTTGCAAATGCAATGCACCATAGGGCCCAGAAAAAAGAATAATCACTGTTACGGACACAAACATTCATTCATTCCTTCACTCACAAAAACTTGTAGTATAAAGTTTGGTTGCACAGTTTTTAAATGATCTTCATGAGTTTGTGTGTATCCATGTTGCATGTTTGGCAAGTATGGTAGCAGTAATTTCTTCTGCATCTGCATTTCTTTTCACATTAAAGTTGATGACTTGCAACTCGACTTGGACTTGCCTTTCTTGACTCGGGACTTGACTCGAGACTTGAATGCAAAGACTCGAGACTTACTTGTGACTTGCAAAACAATGACTTGGTCCCACCTCTGAGATGTACTATAGTAGATATAGTATATCTTATGTAAGGTACAGATTTTTTTTATGTCT